GTCCATTGCCACGGAGCGCTTTAAAGGTTGTTACTAACACCTTGAAGCGCACCCGGAAGGCCACAGGCAGCCAGTGCAGCTCGCGCAGGAGAGGTGTTACATGGGAGTATCTAGAGGCCCCCAGGATCCCCCGCACGGCCGCATTCTGAACTAGCTGGAGCCTCCAGGTGCACCTCAAGGGGAGCCCCATGTAGAGAGCATTGCAATAGTCCAGGCGGGAAACAACGAGGGCTTGAGTGACCGTGCGTAGAGCGTCACAATCCAGAAAGGGGCGCAACTGGCGTATCAGGCGAACCTGATGAAAAGCCCCCCTGGCCACGGCTGTCATATGGTCGTCTAAAGACAGCCGAGTATCCAGGAGGGGTTGGGGGGTTATTTGCCACTGACGAACGCGGAGAGTTTGAAGTCGCGTCTAAGGGGCGGTGGGGGGCCTCTTCCCATTGGGGGGGGTCCCAGGTGCTGGCTCAGTGTGATGGGAGTGGTAGTCCGACGCCTTCGGAGGCCTGCAATTCCCTGAACTGACTGGATGCCAAGATCCGGGAAGGCCATTAAAACAAAAAACAGACTAATACTGGCAATCCTCAACTTACAAAAGTTCATTTAGTGACGGTTTGAAGTTACAACGGCCCTGAAAAAAGCGCCTTAGGGCCGCTTATCACAATTACAATCACCATTGCAACAGACCATAACAGAACGGGACCTCGGAGGTCATGTAGTCCAATCCCCTGCTCAAGCAGGAGATACTTACACAATCATAGAGTAACAGGGTTGGAAGGGACCTCGGAGGTCATGTAGTCCAACCCCCTGTTCAAGCAGGAGACCCTTACAGAATCATAGAATAACGGTTGGAAGGGACCTTGAAGGTCATCTAGTCCAACCCCTGCTGAAGCAGGAGATCCTTTCACAATCATAGAATAACGGTTAGAAGGGACCTCGAAGGTCATGTAGTCCAACACCCTGCTCAAGCAGGAGACCCTTACAGAATCATAGAATGACAGTTGGAAGGGATCTTGGAGGTCATCTAGTCCAACCCCCTGCTCAAGCAGGAGACCCTTACGCAATCATAGAGTAACAGGGTTGGATGGGACCTCGGAGATCATCTAGTCCAACCCCCTCCTCAAGCAGGAGACCTTTACACAATAATAGAATCTATTATCTATTCCCCAATGGTCACGGGATCAAAATCCACCCGCTCGGCGACGGACTCCCCTTTATGACGGTTGCAGTGTCCCCCGGGGGTCGTGTGACCTCCTGACGAGCAAAACCGACGGGGGAAAGCCAGATTCGCTTAACGACCGCATGACTTACTGAACCCTTTTGTGGAACTTCCGACAAACCAAGTTAACGGGGGAAGCCAGATTGACAGAACCGCCTTCTGGCTAACGGAAGAACTGCAGAGTGAGAGGGCGAGGAATGTCATCAAACGGGGCAAAACTCACGGAACGGCTGTCTCGCTTAGCGACGGAAATGGGGGTCTATCGCGGTCGTAAATCGAGGACTCTCGGTCCCCTGAGGTCGGTGGTCAAATTGTCTACTTCAAATCAGTTTGGGGGTTTTTTGGTTTTTTTTTGAAATCCAGAGCTCTCCCACATGGCCTCAGTCCGACCTACCTGTTGAACAGCAGTCGCTTGAAATCCTGGAACAAGAAATCCTTGTTCTTATCCAGAAATCCTTCCACGGAATACCTGAAAGCGAGATTCAGACATGCAGTGAGCGGGGTAGATCCGAGGTGGAAGGTAACTGCCATTTTGTTTAGCGTGATCCTCGGGCTCAAATCAGTCAAAGGACACCTTTTTGCAAAAGGGAATATTTTGCCAAATGGATCCCTTTAAAAGGGGTGGACTTCAACTCCCAGAATTCCCCAACATCCAGCATGGATGGATCGGTTCCCAGAATCCCCCAGCCACCATGCTTTAAGAGGGAAGGACTTCAATTCCCAGAATCCCCCAGCTGGCATGCTTTAAGAGGGTGGACTTCCACTCCCAGAATCCCCCAGCCAGCATGCTTTAAGAGGGGAGGACTTCCAGAATCCCCCAGCCAGCATGGATGGATGAAATCCCAGAATTCCCCAGCCATCATGGTTTAAGAGAGGTGGACTTCAATTCCCAGAATCCACCAGCCAGCATGGATGGCTCGATTCCCAGAATTCCCCAGCCACCATGCTTTAGGAGAGGTGGACTTCAACTCCCAGAATTCCCCAGCCACCATGCTTTAAGGTGGGTGGACTTCAACTCCCAGAATTCCCCAACACCCAGCATGCTTCTTCGTCGAGAGGAAGGGGAAGTAAGGGGGGAACGATTAAGGTGAACACACTCACGTAACGTCTCCTGCGTAATGCTTGATCCGGAAATCCCGTCCGTACTCCATGGATTTGTCGGCGGAATTGAGCTGTGGGAACACACAAGCCGGAATCGTTCAAGGTCGAGTTGTGCGGTGGATGTACCCTTTCCCTTGCCCCATTTGTTCTCAAGTGATGAAGCCATAAAT